TCTGTTAGGTTTGATTCGAGAAAATACACGCAGACTGTGTTGAATATTACTAGATCTGTAGACGTAGTATCCGCGGCTAGATGCGCTGTGTTCATTCGCACTAAGGTGAACATAAAAGCTCATTTTCTAAGCTGCGACTCAGTCAAGAACATATTTAGAGAGAGTGTTGAGGGCTGTACAGTATAAATAAAATTCTTGAAAATTGCTTTCTCTGGGTGGAGAGTCTCACTCACGCATCACTGACAATATCCTATGTGGACGAGCAGAGTGTGGAAAATATTTGGAAAAATGCCCTACGGCTAGTTTCGCTCGAAGCCAGCATTTTGGAGCAAAACTATGAGTAGAAAAGTTTCTCAGAACCGAGTTTCCGAGTCTCTCTACAGACCTTTTTTCAATAAGTTTTCCTTTTATTTGTTTTAACATTGAAGCACAACCTACTGCATCAACTGAGCCACCTGCTACTGAACCGACGACCAAACCACCTACTGAATCAACGACTGAACCAAATACTGAGCCACCAAATGAACCAACGACTAAACGACCTACTGAACCACCGACTGAACCACCTACTGAGCCGCCAAATGAACCAACGACTAAACTACCTACTGAACCAACGACTGAACTACCTACTGAACAACCTCATGAGCCATCTAATGAACCGACATCTGAACCACCTACTGAGCCAACAACTGAACAAACCACTCAACCACCTAATGAACCAACGACTCAACCAGCTATTGAACGAACGACTGAACCAGCAACTGAGCCAGCTACTGAACCTTCGACTAAACCACCCACCGCACCGACGACCGAACCGCCTACAGAACCGACGGCTGAATCAACTAATGAACCAACCATTGTACCACATACTGAACCAACGAATGAACCAACGGCTAAATCACCTGTTAAACCGACGAGCAACCCACCTACTAAAGTACCACCAACTGAACCACCTGCTAAACCCACGACCGAACCAATTACTAAGGCACCACCCACCGAACCACCTGTTAAACCGGCGAGCAACCTACCTACTAAGGTACCATCAACTGAACCACCTGTTAAACCGACCACCGAACCAATTACTAAGGTACCACCAACTAAACCATCTACTAAGATACCACGCACTGAACCACCGACTAACGTACCACCTACTGAACCACCGACCAAGGCACCACCTACTGAACCGCCTACTGAACCACCGACTAAGGCACCACCTACTGAACCCCCTACTGAACCACCGCCGAACGCAACACCAACGGAACAGCCTAATCGACCACCGCCTACGGCCCCACAAACCGAAGCGCC